CGAGCTGGGAACTGTTGCGGGCGCTGGTTCCCTTCTTTCACAAATTCTGGCAGATTCTTCGCGCGTATGAGCCTCTCGATTTCGTCACGAAGGTGCTGGCACTCGTTGGTGGTGTGGCCATAATCATTATGAAAACGGCAGAAACTCCCCAGCGTGGGGCTTTTCCTCGGGGCTTCTGCATACGTGCGAGGCCATTTTAACTTTGGGTTATTTTCTATGGCCAACAATATCTCTCCCGGCTGTGCGACCAGCGGCGCATAGCTGTCAAAACGAGGTCCAATTTTTCTCTCGTTCTGCACCTCCCTTCTCGCCAGTTGAGTCGATTTCTGCATTCTCTCCTCTTTCTTTTCCCTTTTCGCATCGAGACCGCCCTTGTTCTCGCCAAATTTATTATGCACTGCCTCCTCTGCGTTCATATATCGCTCGGCTTTTTTCAACAAAGCATTAAAAGATGCTGGAGGCTTTTTCGAGAGCGAAGTGAAGAAATCGCCAGCCCGCAGCCCTTGGGCTAGAGCGCTAATCAAAACTTCCTCTGAGGTAATTGGTACCTCTAAGGTCGCCGAGATGAAACGCTTGATAAAACTTCGCAGGTATTCTCCTTCCCTCTGTCTGACCGCGAACAGAGTCAAGGTGCTCCTCTTTTGCTTCTTTGAGCTCGCGAAATGATCCATAAAACATGCACTTAGCTGGTCGAAACTGCCAATCGTGCCCGCAGGCAGCTGGCTGAACCAAGCTTGTGCGGCTTCCGCTAACGTAGTCGCGAAGACCCGACATTTCACTCCCTCAGTAAATCGGTGCAAATCCGAAGTATTATTGAAGCGACAGAGATGTTCACAAGGGTCGGTGGTTCCCAAGTATTCGTAAGTGACATGTCGAAATGAGTGAGGCAGATCGTCATCCAGAATGCACTAAGCGAGGAGCTTGCGCGGACGGGTCCCTCGCTCCCTCGCCCCCCATTCTCCCCCATCTTTCTTTTGGGCGACGCGGCCTCGGGCTCCCTTAACGTGCGCACAGAGCCCTCCTGGACAGCGCTCGCCAAAAGTGCCTGCAGGTTTTCCATAGTCATGGCGACCAGGGGGCTACCTCCCGTATTGTTGGCTGCCTGCGGCGTCTCCTCTGCCGCGGTAGAGGCCTCTCCGACGGCCGGTTGGTTCTCCTGCGGAGCTGGAGTTGCCTCGGCCTCCATCTGACTGGTTAGATCCCTCACTATGCTGGGAAACGAGGCCATTGATAAATGTGTACTAGTTAACGAAAAACAGGTAAGGGTGTTTTTTACAGGAAAACGTTGCCACAGTTTTGCTCAACGAATTCCCACAGACGGCGCCATTTGATCCGGCTGGATTCGTGGTGGGCTTGTTTAGAAAGTTGAGTAGGCCTGAACTTGGACCGGAGCCCACGATAAACCTACAAGAAAGAAAAGAACCGGACTTAGGCCGGAGTTAGCACTCCGACGGCCAAGTCAGTAACTTCCTGAAGAAGATTTTATGCTTCTGTATGTAATTTATGTATATGATTTCGTGGTGGTTTTCCTGTATTTACTGCCCCTATTTATACTAAAAAAGGGGACGGACGTCAAATACTCTTCAATTTAATTTACCTGTCCCATCGCGGTAATTAAGCATCCGGACCTCAAATTACCTTCAATGCAGTTTAATCTGTCACTTCATTGGCGGCGACAGAGGCAAAAAGTAGGGGTCGAAGAGACATTCCCCTGCCCGTTGTCAGTAGATTGGACGTGCATTAAATACCCCCATGTGTAGCAATGATCACCTCCGGTCGGGCGAGCCGTCCGGCGAGAGATGTGCAACTTGGCGAGCGACTGGCAGCCTGGCGAGAGATTGGCAGCCTGGCGAGTGATTGGGCGAGAGGTGTGCAGCCTAGCGAGAACCCTCTCGCACGTGGGCTACTCGCTCTCCGCGGCCGGGTCCCTCTCGCCCAACCGGTACCGGTTTGATGGGCCTTCTGTTTAATGGGCTTGAGCGGTGCCTTTTGATCTTGTTTGGGCCTTTGGTCTCTATTGGATTGATCAAGTAATCCCGGGCTGGATCATCTTTTATTATCGACCGACCATTTTTATTTTATTCTACTGAAATTTGATAATCTTAAACATATGAATTACTTATGTTTAAAAAATAAAGGCGTGTGTTCTAATCGGTGGCCTATATAAATTAATCATCATACCTAACAAAATCATCTCAAACAAAAGCAACGGAAAAAAACAGAGTGATATACTAAGTGGTCCATATACACTCAATTTTTCAGCTCCACGTCAATTTTGGTGGAAATGCACCCTTACTTAGCCAGGTTGCATGACCCCACTATAGAGTCGGCTTATCAACAATTGCGGGAAATGAGTCCATTATTTCCAAAAATCCAGCATCGCGCTTCATTTCTAGAAGCTTCATTTACGGTTGTACGCACCAATTCCCTCTATCATCTCCTTATCATATATAATAAATAATTTTTTTCTTAGTTTTTTCTTATTCTTAAAAAAATTATTTTATTTTCTATAACCAACACGTCATCATATAATTATTTGTTCTTGGTTTAGATTTTTTATTTTTGAATAAAAAACCAACAAATCTCATACAATAGAATAAATATGGCACACCCAAAACATATAATATGAATGAATCAATTATATATTGAGTTATTAATTGCCAAAAGCCCCTTGTGTTATCGGGTGATGGAGTAATTGCTTGCAACAAGGAGTCGCGTTCTTACTATCAATTAAAAGCACAATGTCATGTTGCAACTCTTGTGCAAGAATATGGGTCGATGGATTTCAAGGAAGCAATACATATTGTCCACCATGCTGGTAATTCATAATCACGTGGCGGTTCTAAACCACTGTGAGAAGGTCTTCAAATATTTGTATCACATGAATGATCATAAATTTGTATATTTCTTGCACATGACAACAAATTTGACACAATTTCACAAACTCAATTAGGTTTCTGGTGCAACTCTCAAAATACAAAGGGAGATACAATGGTGTCGGGTAAGAAACTAATTTTTCACATTATTATGTACTAGTTAGCTATTATTAGTTTTTTTTTGTTTTTTTTAATTTAATGCATATTCATAACAAAATTTTAGTTGACTAGCAACAACTCGAATATGATGTATTTTATATTTCACAACTAGTTGAGAAACTCGTTGGTCGAAGTTCCAAAATTCAAATGAACATTGAAGGAAAAACTCCCAAGTTGGTTTTTACGAAGGAGCACAAGAATTTGGAAGGTGCAAAATGGATGAAAGAAACATCTCAAAATTACACAGTAGTGTAGCATCCTTAATTGTAACTTTCATGTTCTCATTGCTTTCACAATACTGGGTGGCAATGATAGCCACAATGGCTTGCCTATTTTCCACCGACAAAGAATGTTTTTTGTATTGCTATGTTCTTGTTTCTCTCGTTGTCAGCATTCACCTATGCTTTGATAAAATTCTTAGCAATTCTAATTTCACGCTATTCGGAACAAGAATTTCTGCATATTTTTCCCAAGAGATTGCTTATTGGCCTTATTAGCCTCTTCACATCCGTCGTACTTATGACGGTAACATGCACCACAAGTGTATGTTTGGTTTTCGACCACTTAAAGTGGGTGCTCATCACAGTGGGAGTGTGCAATTCTTTGCTGCTTAGTCTTTTTCTATAAATACTATTTCGCGACTTATCATCGACTTGATTAATTGCACGTATGGTCGTGGAATTTTCATGATTTAGATTAGATTTCCATTGTACTAGGATTAAATTTATAATTTCTTGACCTAATAGATTTTTTTGCTACTAGTAAGTGACACGTGCAATGCACGTGATTCATATAATTTTAGCCCATAAATAAAATTTATTAAAATATTTAATTGGTGAACGCTAAATAATTTTAGATCATAAATTGATATATATTAAATATGAAAAAAAAACATGTGCTTATTACTGATCAATAAATGGATGAAAAACTAAAATTGTTTGAATCAGTGGACTAAAAAAATAAAAAATCTAGAAATTCTAAACAACTAAAATAAAATCCCACATTGGAGGCTCTATAATTTTGAGTCTCTAAACAAAGTCCTATGATATACATATAAGTCTCCAAACAAAATCCCATATTTAGGAACACACTTGGAGATTTTGTAAAAATCTGAAAATTTGGGGCCCCACTAAATTTTTTGTTGGTGTTGAATTTTCTTCCACAATTTCTATATTTTTAAGCCAAATGGAGTTTTCTTACTCCATTAGACATGCCCTAACTAAACCATATTTTACACATGAGTTTCAATTTATATGAATTCCACTCTTGTTATGACGATTCTTGAATATTTTTTTTCATTTCTTTAACTTATTTACATATATCATCTTTTAATTATAACTTGACGATTTAATCACAATTTTAATCACGTGCATGTCATGTGCGTCACGTGCAAATTTCTTATGTACCATGCCATTGATGATAAGAAAGACAAATAGATGGAAAATTTCCATTTACATTTTTAAGATCCTTTGTATAAGCAAATGGTATTTAATTGGAATGGTCTGCAATCTATTTTCTTTTGAAAAATATTACTTCAAAAATTAAAATAAAATATATATTATTAATTGTCATAGAAAGAAGAAGAAAAAAAAGAATTTAGAGTATATAAAGTCACTTATATTATGATTAAATAAGTAAAATATAAAAAATGTGAGTTTTGTTTTCATTTTTTTTTTAATTTTTGATTAAAGACATCATACAATCACATCGACATCAAAGAAAAACTATATTTATAAATAAAAAAATAATATTATTTATTTAAATTTTCATAACTATATTAAATCTTCATAGGCACCCGACCAAAATTTTGAAGATTGATTTTGACCGCGAGATTGGTAAAAGTCTTCGTATCCTCCTCCGTATTACCGTCATGAATCTCTACTACGTAGGATTCCAGGATGACGGTGTAAAGATTTTCGTCTTCGCCGATGAGTTGGTTGACTGAAGTCATCGATTGATAGTTATTCAATCGATGGTTGTCGAGGACACGGAAGCACGGAAGCTGATGAAATGCTTATTCACATCGAGAATTTTCAGAGTCTCAATGGAGGTGGTGGGTGAGATGCCGGAGACCGGGGCCAACCTCCGGAAGCTGCGGACACCCTGTCACCGATCAACTGACATGTCTTCCTAAAGGGTTATAGCCTCAGTTAAACCTTGTTGCATTGAAGATGTTGTTTCTTTTTTTTAATGAAAAAGAGAAAAGAAAATTTAATTTTTGTGTGTGTGCAAGATGTGGATCAATATTGAAAATAATTTCAACTTTAAATAGGACCAGATCACCCTGGTTTTTTAATATTAAAAAAGAGAGATATGAGGATCGATAAGAAGTTTATCAAAGCATATGTAGAAGCTAACAATGAGAGAAACAAGAAGAGAGCATATACAAAGAACATTCTTTGCCTGTAGAAAATAGGCAAGCCAGTATTCCCATCGTTGCCACCCGGTACCATGAAAGCACACGAGAACATGAAAGTAGCAATCAAGGATGCTACTACCGTACAATTTTGAGACGTCTCCTTCATCCATTTCGCACCTTCTTCTTCCAAATTCTTGTGCTCCTCGGTGAAAACCATCTTGGGAGTTTTTCCTTTGTTGTTAATTTGAATTTTGGAACTTCGAGCAACGAGTTTTTCAACTAGCTGTGAAATTTAAAAATATTTGTTATGAATATGCGTTAAATTAAAAACAAATTAATTACTAGCTAACTAGTACTATGGAAGAATGTGAAAATTTTAGTTGGTTACCAGGTACCACTGTATCTCCCTCTGCATTTTGAGAGCTGCACCTGAAATTTGATTGAGTTTGTGAGATGGTGCCAATTTTGCTGCCATGTGCAAGAGGTTGTTCCCGCTATTATCCACCACGTCCGAATATACAAACTTATGGCCATTCATGTGATACAACAATTTGAAGACCTCCTCACAACGGTTTAGAACCGCCAGGTGAAATATGGATCTGGGGGAAGATTCCATGTACGATGAATAAATAGCATTGGGGAATGCCTCGATTATCATTTCCACAATCTCGTGATTCCCTATTTTGGTTGCACATATTACAGCATGGTGGGCAATATGTATAGCTTCGTTGAATTCCATCGATTCCATATTTTTGCACAAGAGTGCAACAAGAAGTCGAGCTTTATTTTGAAGGTAAGAATGCGACTCCTCGTTGTAAGCAATTACCCCATCACCTAAATACACAAGGGGCATCTGGCAATTAATAACTCAATATATAATTGATGATTCATTCAAACGGTATGATTTGGCTGCGCCATATTTATTCTATTAAATGATATTTTTATTGGTTTTTTTTATTCAAAAATCAAAAATCTAAACTAAGAAAACATGTTTTATATGATTATGTGCTAGTTATATAAAATGAAAGAATTTTTTTTATTTTTTTTTGTAAAAATAAGGTTAAAAAAATATGTATTATGTATGATAAGGAGATGAGAGAGGGAATTGGTACGTACAACCATCAAAAAAGCTACAAGAAATGAAGCGTGATGCCGGATTTCTGGAAATAACGGACTCCTTCCCCGCGATTGTCGATAAAGCCGACCCTATAGTGGGGTCATGCAACGTGGCCAAGTACGGGTGCTTTTCAACCAAACTGAACGCGATGCCGAAAAATTGAGCATGTATCGTGTCCGAAATAAGTCTTAGGCCGCCCTTATTTTGATATGGTTCTTCCTCCGTTGTGATACCGATCAAAAGCCGCAATATTGCCGCATGTTCGTTTTTGGCGGCCGTATGCACTGGAAAATCCTCGTTGTAATCTTGAATGTAGGGCAATCGAGGCATTTTACGGCACATAATGTCCGCCGCCACTGTGTTGCCCACTTCAGCAGCAATGTGTAACGGGGTACTTCCGCAACCAGTTCTTAGGTTCGCAAGTTCGTCCCCGGACACCATCGTCTCAACGAATTGTTGGACGAAGCCGATTGACCTAGAAACTTTTATGGAGACGTGAAGGCATGTCATCCCCCTCTGGTCTAGGGCCGCAAATTTGGTTCGCGGATCTGCATCGAATATCTCCTTTGCTTTCTCCCAGTCCCCGTTTATTGCAGCATTATACAACGATGTATTGTACTTAGTTATGTTGTTGGAACTTGGAAGCCATGATAAGTACTAATGAATTGGGATGATTTTGTTACTTAAAAGTTATGACTTATGAATTATGAGAATTAATATATAAAGACCACATATTATAGAACACATTCCTTTCTTTGAAATATAAGTAATTCATATGTTTAAGATAATCATATTCCAGCCGAAAAAAAAAATGGTCAATGAATAATAAACAAGTAAAGTGAAGAATTATGCTCCGATTAGATTATATTAATCAATTAAATAAGGGTGGTGTAAATGCAGGATGTTGTTTAGTAAATGTAGGATATTTTATTTTAAAAAATTAAAAGTTAATATACATTCCATCTTATTTCGTCAAATTCCTTTGTGTCAGGAGTTTTTAACGACATTATTTTGGCAGAATATCACATGAAGAGTTTCAGTAAACGTAGACATTTTATTTAAAAATTCAAACATAATATATCACATCTTATTCAAACTCTTTTTTATAAATATCCATGACATAAAAATGGAAAACTATCACACATGACACAATTAATCACCATTAACCACCAAGAACATGAATTTATTGATTTTGGAGGATGATACGCCTGAAAGTGAGGTAAAAATTCATTTCGGCGCGAAAAAAGTTTCATGTTTTCTGTGTCAAACTTCCATTTTTTTTTGTTTTCTATGTCAGATTTTACAACATATATTAATTTTGTTAATAATTTGGATCAAGATCATCTCGATACATTTAAAGAAGTCGATTATATTGAATATTTTCCATCAAACAAAATATTTTGTATTATAAACGAATTTAAAAAGTTTCTGCACATTTGTTTGAGATTGGAAATTGTAGAAAATAAATGTAGTTCTGTAGATAGTTAATGATATATATTGGATGAGAATTAATTTTATATTAAAATGTCTATAGTGCTACTAAAATACGTTCTAAAATATGGGTACAAATTAAAATAAAAAAAATGTCCTACATTTTCTAAAAGTTGTTCTGTATTTATCATTTTCTATTAAAAAATATTCCCTTTTTAACACTTTTTAAGTAATTTCACCCTAAATTTATATATAGCAGCACAACATTTTATGGTAAATAAAAAATACTAAAATAGCACCATACACTTCGTTAAGTTTTTAAATCAATAAAGAAGAAAAGAATATACTAAAAGAAATATTTGTGGGCCAAAATGTAACTAACGGTATTCCTCACCCACATAACAATGTTACGTTTTTCTTTATTATTTACGTTTATCATTTACAAAAACAACCTCTTTCTTTCTCCCTACACAACCTACTAATAAGGAAAAATCATGTTTTTTTTTTTTTTACCTCGTAATCTAATTCGATATCATGTTGATCAATCCAAATTAAAATGTTTTGCTTTGTTCTATACTTCGTAATCTAATTCGCCATCATAACAATGCAAAGTTCGTTGATACCCAAAAATGTTACTCCCTCTTTCCCCAATGGATTGTCGTTTTAGCTAATATTCTTTTCCCCCTTTTTTTGACGTTTTAAATTTCCAAAGAAAAACAATTTTTTTCTTTTCATTCTTGCCATTGTTATTCTAAACGACATCTAGTAATATATTCTAAACGTATTGAATACTTTGAAGGTGCACAATATGTTCGCATGTCACGTAATTATACTAAATATTTCAATTATGTCTCTAGATACATAAAAGTTTACTAAATATTTCAATTATGTCTCTAGATACATTAATAAACTGGTATGAAATAATATCATCTTCATTTTTATTTTGAATCGCTATTTATTCTTGAAAATGATCGCTTCATTGGCACAATAAATATATAAAAAAATGACAAATGTGCACATGTAATTACGTAATATGCACATTATTTGCACGTCATTTGCACTTGATTTGAACTCTTATTTTCTCATTAACATCTTATTTTAAAAAAATATAGAAGATCATGTAAATATATATCAACGTATGTGTGTATATAGATCAAAATATTCCAAATAAGATGTTAATAGAATATGACGTAAATAGGCAAAGAGTGTATCTAACACACTATTCCGTTTTTCGAAGAATTAAATAAAATGTTTTTTAGTAAAAATGCATTCATAAAATAAATATTATATAAGTAGGAATTGTTCAATTCAAAACATAATTTTATAATTCTTTAATTCGCATGTTTATTATACGATTATCTTTTATTATCGACCGACCATTTTTATTTTATTCTACTGAAATTTGATAATCTTAAACATATGAATTACTTATGTTTAAAAAATAAGGGCGTGTGTTCTAATCAGTGGCCTATATAAATTAATCATCATACCTAACAAAATCATCTCAAACAAAAGCAACGGAAAAAAACAGAGTGATATACTAAGTGGTCCATATACACTCAATTTTTCAGCTCCACGTCAATTTTGGTGGAAATGCACCCTTACTTAGCCAGGTTGTATGACCCCACTATAGAGTCGGCTTATCAACAATTGCGGGAAATGAGTCCATTATTTCCAAAAATCCAGCATCGCGCTTCATTTCTAGAAGCTTCATTTACGGTTGTACGCACCAATTCCCTCTATCATCTCCTTATCATATATAATAAATAATTGTTTTCTTAGTTTTTCCTTATTCTTAAAAAAAATATTTTATTTTCTATAACCAACACGTCATCATATAATTATTTTTTCTTGGTTTAGATTTTTTATTTTTGAATAAAAAACCAACAAATCTCATACAATAGAATAAATATGGCACACCCAAAACATATAATTTGAATGAATCAATTATATATTGAGTTATTAATTGGCAAAAGCCCCTTGTGTTATCGGGTGATGGAGTAATTGCTTGCAACAAGGAGTCGCGTTCTTACTATCATTTAAAAGCACAACGTCCTGTTGCAACTCTTGTGCAAGAATATGGGTCGATGGATTTCAAGGAAGCAATACATATTGTCCACCATGCTGGTAATTCATAATCACGTGGCGGTTCTAAACCACTGTGAGAAGGTCTTCAAATATTTGTATCACATGAATGATCATAAATTTGTATATTTCTTGCACATGACAACAAATTTGGCACAATTTCACAAAGTCAATTAGGTTTCTGGTGCAACTCTCAAAATACAAAGGGAGATACAATGGTGTCGGGTAAGAAACTAATTTTTCACATTATTATGTACTAGTTAGCTATTATTAGTTTTTTTTTGTTTTTTTTAATTTAATGCATATTCAAAACAAAATTTTAGTTGACTAGCAACAACTCGAATATGATGTATTTTATATTTCACAACTAGTTGAGAAACTCGTTGGTCGAAGTTCCAAAATTCAAATGAACAATGAAGGAAAAACTCCCAAGTTGGTTTTTACGAAGGAGCACAAGAATTTGGAAGGTGCAAAATGGATGAAAGAAACATCTCAAAATTACAAAGTAGTGTAGCATCCTTAATTGTAACTTTCATGTTCTCATTGCTTTCACAATACTGGGTGGCAATGATAGCCACAATGGCTTGCCTATTTTCCACCGACAAAGAATGTTTTTTGTATTGCTATGTTCTTGTTTCTCTCGTTGTCAGCATTCACCTATGCTTTGATAAAATTCTTAGCAATTCTAATTTCACGCTATTCGGAACAAGAATTTCTGCATATTTTTCCCAAGAGATTGCTTATTGGCCTTATTAGCCTCTTCACATCCGTCGTACTTATGACGGTAACATGCACCACAAGTGTATGTTTGGTTTTCGACCACTTAAAGTGGGTGCTCATCACAGTGGGAGTGTGCAATTCTTTGCTGCTTAGTCTTTTTCTATAAATACTATTTCGCGACTTATCATCGACTTGATTAATTGCACGTATGGTCGTGGAATTTTCATGATTTAGATTAGATGTCCATTGTACTAGGATTAAATTTATAATTTCTTGACCTAATAGATTTTTTTGCTACTAGTAAGTGACACGTGCAATGCACGTGATTCCTATAATTTTAGTTCATAAATAAAATTTAGTAAAATATTTAATTGGTGAACGCTAAATAATTTTAGATCATAAATTGATATATATTAAATATGAAAAAAAACATGTGCTTATTACTGATCAATAAATGGATAAAAACTAAAATTGTTTGAATCAGTAGACTAAAAAAAAAAAAATCTAGACATTCTAAACAACTAAAATAAAATCCCACATTGGAGGCTCTATAATTTTGAGTCTCTAAACAAAGTCCTATGATATACATATAAGTCTCCAAACAAAATCCCATATTTAGGAACACACTTGGAGATTTTGTAAAAATCTGAAAATTTGGGGCCCCACTAAATTTTTTGTTGGTGTTGAATTTTCTTCCACAATTTCTATATTTTTAAGCCAAATGGAGTTTTCTTACTCCATTAGACATGCCCTAACTAAACCATATTTTACACATGAGTTTCTATTTATATGAATTCCACTTTTGTTATGACGATTCTTGAATATTTTTTTCATTTCTTTAACTTATTTACATATATCATCTTTTAATTATAACTTGACGATTTAATCACAATTTTAATCACGTGCATGTCATGTGCGTCACGTGCAAATTTCTTATGTACCATGCCATTGATGATAAGAAAGACAAATAGATGGATAATTTCCATTTACATTTTTTAGATCCTTTGTATAAGCAAATGGTATTTAATTGGAATAGTCTGCAATCTATTTTCTTTTGAAAAAATATTACTTCAAAAATTAAAATTAAATATATATTATTAATTGTCATAGAAAGAAGAAGAAAAAAAGAATTTAGAGTATATAAAGTCACTTATATTATGATTAAATAAGTAAAATATAAAAAATGTGAGTTTTGTTTTCATTTTTTTTAAATTTTTGATTAAAGACATCATACAATCACATCGACATCAAAGAAAAACTATATTTATAATTAAATAATAATATTATTTATTTAAATTTTCATAACTATATTAAATCTTCATAGGCACCCGACCAAAATTTTGAAGATTGATTTTGACCGTGAGATTGGTAAAAGTCTTCGTATCCTCCTCCGTATTACGTCATGAATCTCTACTACGTAGGATTCCAGGATGACGGTGTAAAGATTTTCGTCTTCACCGATGAGTTGGTTGACTGAAGTCATCGATTGATAGTTATTCAATCGGTGGTTGTCGAGGACACGGAAGCACGGAAGCTGATGAAATGCTTATTCACATCGAGAATTTTCAGAGTCTCAATGGAGGTGGTGGGTGAGATGCCGGAGACCGGGGCCAACCTCCGGAAGCTGCGGACACCCTGTCACCGATCAACAGACATGTCTTCCTAAAGGGCTTATAGCCTCAGTCAAACCTTGTTGCATTGAAGATGTTTTTTCTTTTTTTTAATGAAAATGAGAAAAGAAAATTTAATTTTTGTGTGTGTGCAAGATGTGGATCAATATTGAAAATAATTTCAACTTTAAATAGGACCAGATCACCCTGGTTTTTTTATATAAAAAAAAAAAGAGAGAAGAAAATGTGATTTGTGTGTATGCAAGATGTGGATCAATATTGCAAACAATTGCACCCTTAAATAGGAGCATATCACTATGTCATCTCTCAACTCTTTCAACAATAATCATCTTCTTCATTTGGCTAAACAAGATAATTCATTCATTATTCTGTTGTTTAGTCAAACTAGGTGAAAATTAGTTGTACTTAGTAAAATATATATATATATATATATATATATATATATATATATATTGATGTAGCCTAATTGGCCAAACAATATATGGGCTGTATGAATACGATGATTTTCGAATTATATAGGTTTTTATGGTTTTACTATGCCATGATGATAATACATTTTCCACCGAAATGAGCTTGATATTTAAATGTTCTTTGATTGTTTGAAGAGCAGGACATAAATATAGAACAACTTGGGCCGAAATAATGGCTCCGGTGATTAAACTGCTCGGAATATATTACTTTACCAGATCAAAATACATGTGTGTATATGTTTTTGTTATATAAAAAATGACAACCTCTACACTAATACGAGAGGCAGGATTTATACTAACACCATACGAGTCTTCTGGGCCCATCCTGCCACGTGGAATGCTTATATTGGTCCTCTTGCCGCCCTTTACCTGCTTTACCCTGCCACGTAGGGCCTGTACTGGCCTACTTCATTGTCGCCCACCTATCATATATAGTCTGTCAAATGTCCCTTCACATCAATCTTTTGCCCACTCGTTATCTTTAAGCGAAATTAATATGGTTTTGGGCGATGCTACTTCATCCCTTGGGCGAGGTTAACCTACATAAAAATGAGGTTACTCTACCCTAGGGCGAGATAGCTTTGGACGTTGGACGTTTGATAATTGCCCACAAACTTTTCGTTTTATTCCTAACAACTTTTCCCAAGTTGTCTTGTCTCTCCCCCATGTGGATGACCGCAAATGGGCCATTTCTTCTTAATTGGGCCCATTTTGCTCCAAAGACTAAGCCTCCTACATTAAGGTGAATGCAAACTAGCCCAGATCAGCTATCCCCCTACTTCGTCTTGATGAGGAAAAAGCGAAGGCGGACTCAGTCAGTCCCATAAAGTCAAGAATGACGACGAACTATATACTCAAATGGCTGAGGTGAGAGAAAAAAATGAACCACCGTACTCCCCCTAGTTCGACGCGAGATTGACGAAGTCTAGAATGCTGGCAAACTACATACTCAAATGTCTTAGGTGAGCGAGGAAAAATGAATCACCGTACTCCCCCTAGTTCGGCCCGAGATCGGCGAAGTCCAGACTAGTGGCGACTATATACTCAAATGGATTAGGTGAGCGAGAAAAAAATGAACCACCGTACTCCGATCCCCCGCTTATATTTCTCAGGTGTCGTTCGTAAACTAATTCCTCCATTCATCGAGAAGAGCCAATCAGGGTGTTGGTCGTTATGGCGAAAACTTAATTTGATACTTCGAAATGAAGAACTGAGTTTTAATTCCAGGGAATACTTTCGTTCTTTCTTTCTTAGAAATTATAATTTTAGTATATTTTTATCAGGGATGGCTAATAATTCCGAATAAGGAAGAAGAAGACTCAAACCAAAAAATTCTTATTTTGAAAGATGTAATTGTTAACCGCAAATTTTCGAATCTGCAAAATATATAAATACAGGACAAGAAAAATAAGGAACAAAAAATTTATTAATCAAAACGAATGTGGATTACAATCTTCGGGAATCCCCTGATTCTTCTCTCCTATTCTAAAATCGATTCAAGGGCTTAAATTTTTTTTTTATTAATTGAATAAATATAAACACCTCGAATTCTCATATGTTATGAATTCACGGCGAAGGCTCGAGACGTGAGCTTGAGAGCTCGATATGTGTCCATGTGAGTCTCTATTTGCATGTAGTTAAGATATTTTTTTATGAGCACGAGCTAGGGTTTCGACTTGTAGCATGGGCCGGTGGACTTGGATATCCGTCATTTGACTAATTTGAGCTAAATAAGGCTCCATCAACTCAGCCAAAAAATAAGAATTTATTACTTATTTTTTGATCAGACCATTTAACACATTTGTAAAGCCCAAATATGTTGTGGATTATGATTTGAGATCCGATTAATAACCGATTTATCTGGGCATTAATTGGTGATTTTTTCCGAGATTTCGGTGTCAACAGTAATAATCCAAGAAAGATTTTGTGTATATTTGTTGCGAAATCAATTGGGAAATCCAAAGAAAAAAATTGTGCGCGGTTAATTGAGGGAACTTTGAACAAGAAACAAAAGACGAAAAAGCCCATGTACCTAGGCATGGGCAATTCACTTGCACCGAAAATTGTGATGATTCGCCAGAGTATTCGATTTAGGTGATTAAGAGCATCTTCCAACCTAATCACTATTTTTTCACCAAATTCTATTTTTGATGGTGAAAGAATGTGTTTATCTCCCACCCTTAGCACACTATTCTACAATTTCACTGTTTTTGGTGAATAAATAGTGTATTTAGTCTCCCATCGAGTCCATCAGATTTTACACTAAACAATAAAATAATAATATTTCACAATTTTCCTATTTATAGAGAATAGCATTTGGTTTGATCTCCCATGATATTTCACAAAATGTATCACAAAAGTATAAATTTAATGTTAATCATAATTTTAGTCTATTTTAATTTTAAAAATATTGATTATAGATTCGATTATAAGTAGTAATTTTATTGATTATATAATCTTAAACTTATATTACATTTTAAAAAACTACTGAAACATAAATGAAAATCAACGTAAATTATTATACATATAATAAAACAACACAAAAAATAATTTCACAACTAAATGCATAAAAATATTACAACACAATGTAAAAAAAATATTTACAACATTTTTTTGCCAAAACAAATTATTGCATTATTAATTTTGAAGGTCAAAGGGGCCTCATTAAAACCTTGTTTGACCTAACATATTTATATTTACTAATAATAATAAATGTATTTATCTATAGAATACTAATTCATTAATTAGCATATAATAATTTTATATGCTAATTATGAAATGATGTTAATCACACCAAATCCTATTTTAATTTCTATATTTAATAGAAAAAATAGGATTTGTGAAAAAAAAAATGGTAAAATGGTGGTAGGATGGGAGTTGCAAATTTCTTCACCCAAAAAATTGGTGAAAGTATAGGATTTGGTAATATGGTGATATGTGGTTTGACCACAATGTGAGACTAAAACCAAATCATCATAACTTTAGGCGCGTAATGTTGATGTAGTGATTTAAGTTGTGAGGTTAAAAACACCTAAATTAGGTGAAAAAAATGGAATACATAAATGGGTGGAAGATGCCCTAAGTGAGTCAAAATAACGGATTAAATGTGCACATGTAATTGTTTTTGGTTAAGATAGCAGAAGTACGGCAAATTACAGATGCCAAAATGTTATTTAACTCTATTTCAAACTTTTATCAACTTTAATTTACTTTTAGAAAACACCTCCTATTCCACTTCATTTCACTCTCTTATTGGCTCAACAATTAATTTAGTCAAATACATCAAGCAAGAGTATAGAGAGAGTGGAGTAATTCTTCTTCAAATATTCTTTTGACCATGGATTAGGGCTCCTCGTCTTCAAATTTCTCGCACTGCAACTATCAAATTCCGCTAATCTCCATCGCCATGGATTCGAAGCTCTCGCTGCTGTTCTCTTTACTCTGCTTAATTGCTCGCCTCCGCCTCTCTTTCTCAGGTGCGTTTTTTCATCTTTCCTTTTCCGTTAAAAAAAATAAAAATAAATCATTTTCAGCATTTTCTGAAAACAGATGATTGTGGGTAAATTTTCTGATCAAATTCCATCAGAATTGCCGCGATCAGTTCTAGGTTTTGATTGGGCAAGGATAATTGAGGGGTTTTTGAATGTCTTGTTGATTTATGACGAGCAATGTGCTTAATTGAAGTCCTTGTTTACCTAGTTTTATCTACTTGTTGGATTGAATGTATTTATTTTGAAGGACTCAATGGAAGTAATATATCATTTTGAGGACAATTTTTTTCGCTACATGTTTTAGTTATGCAAGTGCTGACCAGTTAGTTACAGATATAAAAATGTATTTGGTAACTTACAGTGGGGTTAATTTGCTACATTTATGCCGAAAGATCAACTTTTCGTTGAAATATTTTGTTCCATCCTGAAAACAATGATGCAAATGTAACTAATAACTTTCTCATCATTACAGATGAACGGTATAAGGGAAATATAGAGTGTGAGTAACTGGCAAGACAGACTTGAAATGAAAAAAAAAGTCTTTGTGTTGAATGTGTTCTGTGGACTGTGATTCCATTTTTCCGTTATGGAAATGAGAATTTTGAGTACGAATATTGGTGTGTGTTGTTGCAGTTTGACTTTTCCCTTGGATCTGCCAAGCACCTTATCATGTGTAGTTATCAACTTATCATGGTGTATTCATTCTTACGTGTTGGCTAGGCTCGTCGAAGTTTGGAAATATTACTTTGTTGTAATTCATCCCTTCTCATTTTTATGGGGTTATGGCAAGTCCACTCAATGAAGGATATGTTGTCATATGGAGTTAATTGGACGTTGTAGAATACGGAAAATTTGCCATTGAGAGGGTCGTAGTTCATAATGTAGCTAAAGTATCTTCTTCAAGTTGTTAATTCTAGTTGCGCGCAAGACATTTTCATGCATTTATTCAGAATTGTGCACTTTGTGTTGTTTTTACCTGGAAAAAAAGCATACTGTTTAGTCATGCTTCTAAAGCATGTGATAAGTTGTTTGTTTTTTCTAAAGAAGACTTGAAAGACAGAATTGCGTTAATGGCAACACAATTTTGGTACTGAGAGGTGTTTTATACTTATATGAACAAGTATCTTGAGTCAGATCAGTCCACTGAAAAACGACATCAAGATTTGCTTTTTCCTTTATTGTGCTTTTATTTTTCCCTCCATATTTTTGGCATGTCTTTATTTGATGTGTCTTGTTCTGCATTTGAGCTTTAGTGATTTTGTACAGCTTCAGGAGAGACAAAGTCATTTGAATCAGTTCCTGATCTTGAAAAGTCCATGTACACGGAAATTGAGGGCTTCCCATGTGTACGACTGCTCAACCTTTCAGGGGAAATTGGCTGTTCAAGTTGGTATTTTTGTGACATCATTAAGTAAGATTTTGATTTAGTGTATTATTCAGCTTATTCACTAACTATCACTTTGCATTTTAGATCCTGGCCGTGGGAATGTTGTTGCTCCAATTGTTAGATTTAAGAACGCAAAGGAATTGATTGGATCAGCTACAATCTTGGTATCTGTAGATGAATTTGAAAGCTTACTTTCAAGGCATGTAATTCTCCCTCTTATGTATACCCGAAATTTTACTATTCTCATTCTCTCTTTCAGATTTTCATCCCCGCAATTGTTTGTATTCTGTCATTTGTCGTGCTTGTTGTTATCTCATAATGAGTTACTTTATCACAAAATTATTAATGATGTTTGTCAATATGTAAGTAGGTTTGCCCAATTATCCAAGTGCTTTATTTGGTTCTTCCTTTTTACTTGTCATCTTCCTGTCTACCTCTCCTCTCGCCCAGAACATAAAACATTCCACACAATTGTTCTCAGCACTTCACTTCCAGAACTGTGATATACAATGAGTACTCTTGATGTAATAGATTTTGAGACGACTAACAGAAAAAGAGCATGAACATGGACAAATCAGATTCCATTCATTGTCAAGAGCATATATCATTGTGATTTTAAACTTCATAAATTTCATTTGGATGCCCATATGCTGTCGAAATGAGTATGTGGAAGAAGTTAAACGCTATGAAGACCTTGATTTCTAAGATGCTATTAGCCTGTCTCATCTTAACTTGGAAGTGTGTGTAACAATATGACAAGTCAAATGCTTCATATTTGGAGCTTAATTTACATTCAACCCTTTCGTGTATACACTATACTTTGACAGATTCCTATCTTCCTTAAGTGACGCCAGTATAGATTATCCTTGATATCTTTTTAGATAGCTAAACTGTTTCTGTAGCATTAAGCATTTGAGGCTGAGCCAATAAACCCCTGTACCTATAGGTCACATAAGCAAACATTTTTTTATTTGAGATGTTCATGCATAATGTTTTATGTTGAGTGGATTGATTCTTCTAAAGATCATCAAAAGACGATAAAGATTTACAGTTTAAGGGATGTTAGGTATATGACTAGTTGATTATATGTGGGTATGGTTTGAGTAAATAGTAAGATGATCGATTGTTTTTGAATAATCATCTTAACTTTTACGATTGAAGTAAAAAATGCTAGAACTGTGATTTGTACTTTATAGTGGTGTTATTTCCTCGTATCGCAGGCCGTAAGAGAGAACCCACCCCCTCCATAAATAAAGTGGAAAAAGAAAAAAAATGACTGCTATATTTACGCCCGAACCCTTACCAAAAGCTAACATATCTCCTAACTTTCAAAACAATAAAAGTATCCCATACTTGATTGCCGATCCTAATACTGGACTGCAACTAGAATTTACTACGGTGATTAATATCAGTTTTCTGTCTATACTTTTTCCTTGTTGGTTGTAAAATCAAACACATTATTTATAACCAAATTAATGTAGGACACATATATAGCACCTAGTACTAATTTACTGTTATTGTGAGGTGTGAACATGTCCATATTAAAAACATTTTTTTTGGCACTGCATTTAGCCAATTTTCGTACTGCTAACAATCAATTTCCCACAAGGATCTAGTACCCAAACCAGAGACTGAGCAGCATGTTTATATGTGTAACCTAGTGCTGTGTGGGAATGAAATAGGTTTATTTGAGGTAGAGGCAGTGGCCTTGATTTATTATTGCTTAAATCCTTGTAGTGTTCTGGATCATATGCCTAGTGTAATAAAAGAAAAAAGACGGAGAGGGAAATAAAAGAAGGAACATAGGAAGGAATGTAGTGCTTTTGTTTTCAATGTAAAAATGGCAAATTCTCGATCACAAAATATTTGGATAAATTACTCAGAATTTCTCTCCATCATTTTCACCTTGTATTTCTATAACGGGAAGGAGAAAATACGTCATCATCCATGGGGGATGAAGTTTTTAAATGATTGGAGTTCCCAACACTTTAAACATGCATCAAAGAACCAAATCTTTGAGGAATTGGTGTGTACAGAAAGATGTATTCCAACTCTAGAATCTGAAATCACTCCGTACGGAAGTTCCTAATTTTGGAACCTATTCTGTTTCTAGTTACTGGGAGATGGGTAATTGTATATATGTCATTGACAGCCCAACCATTTATTTTCTTCATTTTTCCTTTTAATTTCATGGTCCTATTTTTTAACCTGTGGTTTTAGTTTTCAGCTCTTCATAGACCTCACTGCATATTGTCGAGCTTGTATACATGTTTATGGCATATGCACTTAGAGTAGACTTTATGCTCTTTATTAGTGCGACTACTCTTGCAAATCCCAATAAAATGATGCTATCTCATCTTTGTTTCCTATGTTTCAGAGTATCAAAAGATTCAGAGTTTGCTGAAAAAGTGGTTGGGATATTGGTTGAATCAGGAACTCAGGTTCAAAATGGTTTAAGTGGTAATTGACCCAATTAATTTTACAAATTATAAAGTGGGTGAAGGAAAGTTATTTGGAAAATAATCTCGTCCAATTATGCCTTTCAGGATTTTCTCCTGATGTAAAGTTTCCGCAGGCAGCATTTGCTCCATATCAAAGCAACAATTTCGAGTGGAACCCAGCTGTATGTTGCAAAAAAATGGCTAGCATCTCATTTCACTGCTTTGCACTAATTGACGTTTGTTGAAAATTACATATCTATTTCTGGGAGTAAGTTGAAGTTTGTAGGAACAAATTTAGAAAGGTGGACAGTTTTGCACACTGCATATAATTGTACTGGCATGATCTTGCTTATGCTGAAAAGGATTACACCTTATTTCCTCTTCTACTTCATATCTTCCAAAGTTTAATCCCTTGATCAGGAAGAATGTGTAAAAGAAAGGCTGGTTTTTATTTTTAGCTCGTTCCAGCTTGCTAATACTCCTGCATCAGAAAGAAACCCGTGCCAATTTTACTTGAAACCTAACTAGGTTGCTATTTTCTTTTGGTTGTTAATAACTGTCTCAGGAAATCTGTTTGAGACTTTGGATGCACCTTCGCATCCACCACTTGGATGCTAACCTGCATTAACTATGGATTTTTTGTTTAATTCTATTTAATATTATACCATCAGTAATTCACTATTTTTTGTTCAAATGAAAGTAAAAACTAGCTTCTGGACTTCTTGCACGTAACTTCTGGACTCGTTACACATATGTTTACTTGTATTTAACCATTTGCTTTTTATTTCTCACTCCATGGCACCCTGGCATATGCAGATTTTTTATGAACTAATTATCATCATTGCCTATCAACAGGGATCTGGAATCATGTGGAAGCCTTATAATTTTCCCGTGTTTTTGCTTTCTCAGACTAGCACATCAATCTTGCAAGAGGTATCACTGTTCATATATATATATATATATATATATATATATATAATATTTGTATGTTGACGTATATATGCATATGTACGCATCTATTTGCTATTTTACTTTTATGACTAATTTTGGTCATCCTGTCTGTGAAAGATGTGCATTCAGCTCAATCTTTATTGTGAATGATCAACTTATTTTAAGGAGAAGGGTGTAATATAACTAATTACAGAACATAAGTACTTACCCAATTTTTTTTTTTTTTACGAAATATAAGTTTGTGTGATTGCAAGTGAAAATGTATTGCTTACTTTAAGCTAGCGAGAACATGGTTTTCGCATTTCTTTCTTGTACATGAGTTCTTACAAGAACAAACTTTCTTGTACTTGCAGGTTGCTTTAAGAAATGAGGAGAGCAAGTCATCTTACCCTAAAGTAGTTTCCGAGTTTGATCTAGTTATGCAGGTAAACATTTCTGCAGGAGATATTAATTAGTCAACTCTTCGGTATTTTAACATAATCCTGACCACCAAAAATATTATTGCTGCTAATGCCCGTGCTAATTTTTTTTTTCAACTAGACTACAAAATCTGGTACTCGTGATTCGAATTCTTGTTTGAAAGAAGGAACTTGTCTTCCCCTGGGTGGATACAGGTTAGTTTCTTGGATTCTGCTTTGACTAGTTATGTTGCAAGGACATTTTTTGATGATATAATTCTCTGGAATAGATTCATGATGTCTATCAGTGATTAGAGTTAGATATTCATTGCTAGTATTTCGCTTAATCCATAAATTTTATTTTTGGGTTATATTAAGATGCAATCACTCTGATTGTTGTAAAATGTACGTGACTTCAACTTGCAGGATAAAATGCCTCTATAGTCTATTCTATTTTATTACTGTAGAGTACTGCCTTTATCGGGTTTGAAGGTCCTAATGATTTTTCTCAATTGGCTCGGATCCTTGTGGCTCCATTTAAGGATGAGAACACGTTTCAATATCTTCATGGTCATGTAAATTGTTATTAGTAAAATAGTAGTAAGCCCATATTGGACCCTACATAAATTTACCTTCACGAATTTCTACTAAAGAGTCTTTGCATTGAAGCATTAAATCAGACAAGATGCATTTAGTTATTTACTTAATAACCTGAAGTCTTAGTTCGGTATTTGAGACCTTTGTCAAATTTTGGGAAGTCGTGTCCTTTTCTAAGTTTGAGCATCTGAGCGGTGTGGCTAAACATTGTTCATTGCTCAGTATGTTATTGTACAACTCATTGAATGTTGAGCGAGTCTGTGGAGTAATATTCTCAGTCTTAGTTAAATAGTCGTCATCTAACATAGAAAATTTCCTAGTTTTCGAATTTTCCTTCTCAAGATCTAGATTCTGCTGAAAGATAATAATAGTAGTATAGCCTGACATTTCCAGCTCAAACTTTTGCCGTTGAAACCTTACCTTTCAGTGGTATATATACTTTTTTTAATTGTGATAAGAAGTGACTTGTTGAGATCTTTGGTTTCGATGTAATTCATGATTTTTTGTAATAAATGTCACTATGTTATGGTATTAAATATATCATGTGCCCGTTGGTTGTCGTTCTGCCATTCAGACTGTTGCATGGCCTGTCTTTGCTTTTGACTTATGTATCTTTAATTTGAAGGGCAGTGTCTGGTCAGCACTTCCACCAATTAATATTTCATCTCCAGTTAAGGCGAAACCAATTGTGCTGACAATGACATCTATGGACTCTGCATCTTTTTTCCGTGATAAAAACCTTGGTGCAGAGACCCCTATATCTGTATGTTACCTTCTCTTTCAGGATTATATAATATTTTTTTACGGGAAAAATACAGTTTTCGTCCCTCAAGTTTGCACCGATTTCACATTTGGTCCCCCATGTTTACAAAAAACATATTTGGTCCCCTATGTTTCAAAAATTCAACACTTTTAGTCATTTCCGTTAAAACTTACGGAATCAAGCGTGTTCCATTACTTGCTTAACTAACTGACTAACGGTAAACTGACAGAAAGGACCAAAAGTGTTAAATTATTGAAACATGAGGGACCAAATGTGTTTTTTTGTGAACATAGGGACCAAATGTGAAATCGATGCAAACTTGAGGGATGAAAACTGTAATTTCCCCTATCTTTTACTGTTAGGAACCAATTTCATGTTTGTTGAATATTTTAATTTTTCTAGGGGTTGATTGCATTGCTTGCTGTAGTTGATGCTCTTTCGCATTTTGATGGATTGAAAGATCTTAATAAACAGGTTGGTGTATCGCTGCACACTTATTTTCTTGTAGTTGATATTCACAGCTTGTTTTCTTCTTAGGACTTTTTTTTTTTTTTTTTTTTTTATCACTACCATAGTAACATGATCTCCATAGTTCATATTGCTTGTATAGGTAATAGTTTCATTAGCATCAAACATAATTCGTCTGCAAACATTAGAATATCTTCATGGACCTGTTGCTGTTCCGTTTATTGTTTACAATTAACTTTCTTCGTTATGCAGTTAAATGTTAGACCTTTTCGTTATGCAGTCAAATGTTATCTCACAGTTTATATTATTCAGCTTGTTTTTGTGGTTTTCACTGGAGAAGCCTGGGGCTATCTTGGTAGCCGGAGATTTTTTCTAGAATCTGAACAACAATCAGACACCATTAAAGGCCTCGATTTGGCAATGATCGAAACGGTATTTCTCGTCAAGCCACTTCATTGTAGGTTGACCATATTGAATTTCTGCTGGCAAAATTGTTGAATTTTTTTTTATTCTTGGCAGTTGTTGTTCTTGCTTTGCATTCATCTCAGTATTTCAAATTGCAGTACCGCTACCACACATTCTAGAAGATCCTTTATCATTTTTTTGGAAATCATCTACTTGTAATGTTGTCATGTTTATTTAGTAATATATTACTAAAAAAAAAAGAAATGACGTGGTTGTATTTAGAAACCATTTATCGTGTTTTTTCTTTATATTAGTGTTCGTATTGTTTTTCTTTTGGACTGGTGATAAGTTAAACAAATGCTACTCGTATTATCTAAATTATTTACCTTATACACAATTGCTGGTTTTATGTAGGTAATGGAAATTGGATCAGTTGGAAAGAGCTTTCCTGAGAGCAGCAAAACATTCTTTGCTCATACTGCAGGGGTAAGGTTCCAATGCCTTAAATCTTCATTAGCAACTTAACCTAATTACTTGAACCTTAGCTTCGTTAGCAGCTTCTTTCTCTGTCTTTCTTCATTATTACATGCTTAAGTAAATTGACTTCAATTGATAACAAACTTACTCTGTTGACTTTTTCAGGCTAAATCCTCTTTGAACGGAACATTGAATGCACTACAAAGTGCACAAGAGTCGTTGAAAACTGAAAGCATTATAGTCAAAACCGCCAGCACATCAAATCCTGGGGTGCCCCCATCTTCGTTAATGACGTTTCTGAGAAAGGTCAGCAAAGACTTTTTTTATCTAAAAAAAATGGATTGTCGAGCTTTATCTTGTGCCGTTTATATTTAGATTAACAGATATTGCGACCAGTTGAATGAAATACTTAATTGTTTAAATAAAAAGTTGTTCTTTTTACAATTAAGTGATACGAATAAAGAGCATATATATGTCGACGTAACTTTTAAGTGTGACGCCTAAACCATATATGTGCAAGGTTAACATATTAAATATCGTATATTTAGTACCAAAAAGAGCATCGATGGGTATCACATTATCTTATATTAAACTTTTTGATTGGAGATATTTGGGATTATTTATCATACAAAATTTTGCTGAAGTGTGTCGTTTGTAAATGAATTTGTTTGCAGAAACCACAAATTTCTGGACTTGTTTTGGAAGACTTTGATTCTGCTTTTAGCAACGAGTTCTACCACAGCCATCTCGATGACCTATGTTAGTGAACCCGAATTCTCTTATTGCTTTATCTGCCTTGTTCGGTTTCCCATTGTGATATATATACATAATTGTGTAATGCAAGTGTATAACCCTTACTGTATTTATTAAAGATTGCACGTGTTGGTTGATGCAGCAAATATAAACTCCACATCCATTGTAGCGGCAGCTTCCCTTGTTGCTCGATCTCTATACATCCTCGCTGGCGGCAAAGACCCGTCCGCTATAAGTAGTATAAAAATCAACGCCTCGTTAGTGGACGAACTTCTTGGTTGCCTATTAAATTGTGAACCCGGTTTATCATGTGGGCTAGTAAAGCGCTACATTTCTCCCTCGACGACTTGCCCAAACCATTATGTAGGCGTCATTTTGGGAGAACCATCTTCCGAGCCTTATCCTGCTTATGCTGGGGATATTTCAAGATTCGTGTGGAACTTTCTTGCCGATAAAACATCAATCCCGTCGAAAAATGTGAGCTCCTCTTGCCCTAAAGATTGCAAAGGCGACGGTGAATTGTGCATTAGAGAAGAAGCTGACGGGAAAGGTGTCTGTGTTGTCTCGACGACTAGGTAATACAGCTTTTTATTTTTTATTTTTTTATAACAAGAATATAAACATTCAAAAAATAATTGATACCAAATTTAGTGCTATGGTTGATTTTTGATCTGCTACACTAATTGTTCACCAACGGACTGATGTTATTATGTATTGTTATTTCTTGATTATCTCAGGTTTGTTCCTGCATATTCAACTCGTTTGAAGTATGAATCGGAGAGCTGGACCGTTTTACCCCTCAATTCCACGGATATTATGGGTGTGGAGGATCCCGTTTGGACAGAGAGTAATTGGGACACAATAAAGGTCAGGGTTTACACAGTCCAAAACACTGCCTTCGACCGCCTAATTTTGCTGTTGGGTATTATTGTCACACTTTTGGCTTATCTTCTGATAGTGATAGCTAGAACTGTCATTAGAAAGGCCTTGAAACAGGACTGATGTCCTAATTCTTTTGCTAGCATGTTTTTGCTGTCTGATTTATGGAAACTCAGCCGTTCTGTACCGAATTATTCGATTATTTGCCAACGGTAAATTGACAGTGTAAAGAAAACTATACATATACAGTGTAGCTTTTGGCTCCAAGTGTATGAGAGTCTTGTACTGTGTGGATGTAGAGCATTTTTTGAGCTGCATCTTTGTTTATATAGACTAGTAGTTGTTAGAAAGGACCAACTGAAATGACAGAGCAAGTATCTATTTTACAGTGTTAGATGTGAAGTAATAATATTGTCATATATAATAGAGGCTTTATTACATAGCAAAAAAACAACAAATCTAAACTACTAAATGAAACAAATTATCAATTTAACCTAGTACAATGGTCGTCTAATTTGTATCCTGAAAATTTGACGACCATATGTGCAATTAATCAAGTCAATTATAAGACGAAACAATACACGTAGAAAGAGGCTAAGTAGCAAAGAGCCGCACACTCCGACTGTGATGAGCACCCACTTCATCCGGTCGGAAACCAAGTACACTGTTGCGGTGCACGTTACCATCATAAACATGATAGATAGGAAGAGGCTAATGAGGCCAATAAGCAACCTCTTGGGCAAAGTGTGCAGAAACTCTTCTTCCGAGTAGCGTGAAATGAGGATCGATAAGAAGTTTATCAAAGCATATGTAGAAGCTAACAATGAGAGAAACAAGAAGAGAGCATATACAAAGAACATTCTTTGCCTGTAGAAAATAGGCAAGCCGGTGTTCCCATCGTTGCCACCCGGTACCGTGAAAGCACACGAGAACATGAAAGTAGCAATCAAGGATGCTACTACCGTACAATTTTGAGACGTCTCCTTCATCCATTTCGCACCTTCTTCTTCCAAATTCTTGTGCTCCTCGGTGAAAACCATCTTGGGGGTTTTTCCTTCGTTGTTAATTTGAATTTTGGAACTTCGAGCAACGAGTTTTTCAACTAGCTGTGAAATTTAAAAATATTTGTTATGAATATGCGTTAAATTTAAAACAAATTAATTACTAGCTAACTAGTACTACGTAAGAATGTGAAAATTTTAGTTGGTTACCCGGTACCACTGTATCTCCCTCTGCATTTGGAGAGCTGCACCTGAAATCTGATTGAGTTTGTGAGATGGTGCCAATTTTGCTGCCATGTGCAAGAGGTTGTTCCCGCTATTATCCACCACGTCCGAATATACAAATTTATGGCCATTCATGTGATACAACAATTTGAAGACCTCCTCACAACGGTTTAGAACCGCCACGTGAAATATGGATCCGGGGGAAGATTCCATGTACGAAGAATAAATAGCATTAGGGAATGCCTCGATTATCATTTCCACAATCTCGTGATTCCCTATTTTGGTTGCACATATTACAGCATGGTGGGCAATATGTATAGCTTCGTTGAATTCCATCGATTCCATATTCTTGCACAAGAGTGCAACAAGAAGTCGAGCTTTTATTTGAAGGTAAGAACGCGACTCCTCGGTGTAAGCAATTACCCCATCACCTAAATACACAAGGGGCATTTGGCAATTAATAACTCAATATATAATTGATGATTCATTCAAACGGTATGATTTGGCTGCGCCATATTTATTCTATTAAATGAAATTTTGTTGGTTTTTTTTATTCAAAAATCAAAAATCTAAACTAAGAAAACTATTTATTCTATTAAATGATATTTTGTTGGTTTTTTTATTCAAAAATCAAAAATCTAAACTAAGAAAACATGTTTTGTATGATTATGTGCTAGTGTTATAGAATAAAAGTTTTTTTTTTGGTAAAAATAAGGCAAAAAAAATATGTATTATATATGATAAGAAGATGAGAGAGGGAATTGGTACGTACAACCGTCAAAAAAGCTACAAGAAATGACGCGTGAAGCCGGATTACTGGAAATAACGACTCCTTCCCCGCGATTGTCGATAAAGCCGACCCTATAGTGGGGTCATGTAACGTGGCCAAGTAAGGGTGCTTTTCCACCAAACTTGATGCGATGCCGAAAAATTGAGCGTGTATCGTGTCCGAAATAAGTCTTAGGCCGCCCTTATTTTGATATGGTTCTTCCTCCGTTGTCACACCGATCAAAAGCCGCAGTATTGCCGCATGTTCGTTTTTGGCGGCCGTATGCACTGGAAAATCCTCGTTGTAATCTTGGATGTAGGGCAACCGAGGCATTTTACGGCACAGAATGTCCGCCACCACTGTGTTGCCCACTTCAGCAGCAATGTGTAACGGAGTACTTCCGTAACTAGTTCTTAGGTTCGCAAGTTCGTCCCCGGACACTATCGTCTCAACGAATTGCTGGACAAAGCCGATTGACCTAGATACTTTTATGGAGACGTGAAGGCATGTCTGTAACAACAAATTCTTATCTGCGATTTAGACAAACAAGAAAAACTTGCACAAATATAATTTAATTGAATTAAAATAGATATATTGCGGGTTACAAACTCTAATTTAATCCTCTGATTATTCTCTCAAGAACAATATGTGTTTGACTTTGAATTTCGGAGTCGGGTTGTTGACTTGATCTTCTCCGGATTTGATTTGGATTTGAATAACGTCTTCCAAGGGTCTTGCGACTTGAATCTCGGATCGAACGCTGAACTTTGACAGGCTTTGACTTAAAGATCTTAGAGTTCTTCGAGTTTTAACTTGAAGATCTTGGAGTTTTTCGAGATTTGACTTGAAGATCTTGGAGTTCTTGATAGATTTGGCCCTTCAATCTTCCTTCGATCTTGATTTGTTGAAGAACGCTCTTGATTTGATGAAGAACGACTTGAATTTGATGAAGGACCACTTGAATATTGTAGAGCGAATTTTCTCCTACGGTTTTGCTTCTTCTTGAGTTGTGTCTTGAATTGTGTAGGGAGGGTCCCTATTTATAGTGGTAGGATAAGAGTCCTACGTGAAGTCTTCTTGATGACATGGCGCGATTTGATTGGCTCTCTTTAAATTGATATTTATCTCTTATAACTTGGAAGTGAAGAAACAATCCTATTGGTCAATAATTAATTGATAATTATCTCCATGATTTATTTTGCAAGATAAATTATAATCTTGGGATTCAATTTAATATAATATAAATTATATTAAATTTATGTGTCTACAAATGCCCCCTCGAGACTTGTTCACGGACAATGCGTCTTGGAGTGAATGAGTCTCGATAATTGCTTAACTTCAATTGCAGCTTGATCTAGCAAAGCACATACATCTTTTGAAATCATGACTGGACTTAGAGAGATTCTAAGTTGCCTACGTACCCTATAGAGGGATCAAGTCATAACGTAGTTCAAAATATATCATTTTGAGGGATGTCATGCACAGTTTACACTCATGTGGACAAGGAGAAACATTTGCAGTTTAAGCTCGTGCTGAAGGAGCATTTGACTTGAATTTGTAGATAGTTTACGCTAGTATCAAGGAGCCTTGACTTGATTTCTATATATAGATAGTTTATGCTCGTATCGAGGAGCCTTGACTTGATTTGGATATATAGATAGTTTATGCTCGTATCAAGGAGCCTTGATTTGATTTGGATACATAGATAATTTATGCTCGTATCGAGGAGCCTTGACTTGACTTGGATATATAGATAGTTTATGCTCGTATCAAGGAGCCTTGACTTGATTTGGATATATAGATAGTTTATGCTCATATCGAGGAGCCTTGATTTGATTTGGATATATAGATAGTTTATGCTCATATCGAGGAGCCTTGACTTGATTTGAACTCGTAGACCTTTTAAACTCGTGTCAAGGAGTGTTTTATTTGGACATGTAGACTTTTTAAACTCGTGTCAATGAGTATGTCATTTGATTCGGACATATAGACCTTTTAAACTCGTGTCAAGGAGTGTTTCATTTAATTTGGACATGTAGACCTTTTAAACTCATGTCAAGGAGTGCTTCGTTTTATTTGGACATGTAGACCTTTTAAACTCGTGTCAAGGAGTATTTCATTTGATTTGGACATGTAAACCTTTTAAACTCGTGTCAAGGAGTGTTTCATTTAATTTGGACATGTAGACCTTTTAAACTCATGTCAAGGAGTGCTTCATTTTATTTGGACATGTAGACCTTTTAAACTCGTGTCAAGGAGTATTTCATTTGATTTGGACATGTAGACCTTTTAAACTCGTGTCAAGGTGTGCTTCATTTGATTGACTTGTCACATTGCATATGATGTTGTTTCTTCAAAAGACTTGCCCCCATCCTCATGATCTTCTTGTTCTTCTTTGAGCTAATACGACTTTTGGAATGAAGGTTTTTCGACTTCATTTGCAGTTATGCTCAATTCCATATCATGTGCTCGAGTGGCCAACTCTTCAAAACTTTTAGGTTGAATTCCTTGAAGGATATATCGGAGTCCCCATTGCATTCCTTGGATGCACAGTTCAATAGCTGATGTCTCGACAGTCGATCCTTGCAATTAAGACTCAAATTTCTCCAACAGTTGATTTAGTGGATGACAGGTTCCTTCTTCCATTGGCGGGAATTGATGAGCTCAATCATGCTGACTGTTCTTCGAGTGCTGTAAAAGCGGTTGGGAAATTCTTCCTCCAAGTGTTTCCAACTATCAATGGAGTTTGGCCCCAAATCAATGTACCAATCAAACGCGTTGTCTTTGAGCGATCGGACGAATTGCTTGACGAGGTGATCTCCGTACGTCCCGGCATCATTGCAAGTCTCGACGAAGTGTGCCACATGTTGCTTGGGGTTGCCTTTGCCGTCAAATTGTTGAAACTTTGGAGGTATATAGCTCATTGGCATCCTTAGATCATCAATCCTTTGCGTGTATGGCTTGACATAGGTTGATGGAGACTTCGAGCTTCCTTCCAACTTGTCTTTGATGGTTCCACTGATCAGCGTCATCACTTAATCTACATGAATCATCCCTTCCGGAGAAACTTGAAGTTCTTGAGCTGGAGCCTTCTCGTTTTCAACTGGTTGTTGCTTTGTGGATGTCTCCACTTCGTCTTGAACCTTTATCTGATTCTCCACATCTTGACTAGCATCGGCTTTGTCCATCTTGTTGATCAACTCGGCAATTTGAGAATCTCGTTGTTGAACATGCTTTGCGAGTCCCCCAAAGGCCTTTGTCAAACTTGCAATTTGCTCCTCCATGGTTGTAGCGTTTGTTGTCATGACGGATGCCACCTCTGAGTAGCTTGATGTTGAACGAGGCGTGGGCTTTGAAATCTCTCGTTTTGAACCTTCCACGTCTGCGCTTGTGTTGACAAGAGGTGGTAAGCCTTTCTGAATGGTTTGAGGCGTCGAATTAGTCTCGGAGGATGCTTGCAGCTTCTTAGCCATACTCGTTGTACCTAAGCCCACACTTGATGAATCCGAAGTAGCAATCTTCATTGTGAACGTAGAGCAGTCACTGCAACACTTCGAGGATCTTCGAGAGAGAGAAGAGATGAGAGGTAGAGATGTCCCATCGGACGTGCCAAAATTTGTAACAACAAATTCTTTTCTGCGATTTAGAAAAACAAGAAAAACTTACACAAATATAATTTAATTGAATTAAAATAGATATATTGCGGGTTACAAACTCTAATTTAATCCTCTGATTCTTCTCTCAAGAACAATATGTGTTTGACTTTGAATTTCGGAGTCGGGTCGTTGACTTGATCTTCTCCGGATTTGATTTGGATTTGAATAACATCTTCCAAGGGTCTTGCGACTTGAATCTCGGATCGAACGCTGAACTTTGACAGGCTTTGACTTAAAGATCTTGGAGTTCTTCGAGTTTTAACTTGAAGATCTTGGAGTTCTTCGAGATTTGACTTGAAGATCTTGGAGTTCTTGATAGATTTGGCCCTTCAATCTTCCTTCGATCTTGATTTGTTGAAGAACGCTCTTGATTTGATGAAGAACGACTTGAATTTGATGAAGAACGACTTGAATATTGTAGAGAGAATTTTCTCCTACGGTTTTTCTTCTTCTTGAGTTGTGTCTTGAATTGTGTAGGGAGAGTCCCTATTTATAGTGGTAGAATAAGAGTTCTACGTGAAGTCTTCTTGATGACATGGCGCAATTTGATTGGCTCTCTTTAAATTGATATTTATCTCTTATAACTTGGAAGAGAAGAAACAATCCTATTGGTCAATAATTAATTGATAACTATCTCCATGACTTATTTTGCAAGATAAATTATAATCTTGGGATTCACTTTAATATAATATAAATTATATTAAATTTATGTGTCTACAATGTCATCCCCTCTAGTCCAGGGCCGCAAATTTAGTTCGCGGATCTGCATCGAATATCTCCTTTGTTTTGTCCCAGTCTCCGTTTATTGCAGCATTATACAACTATGTATTGTACTTAGTTATGTTGTTGGAAGCTGTTATCCCCTTAATCGGTGATATCGGTAATGACTCGAGTGTGGCCGAGTCATGGCCGAGAAATGGTGCCAAGTGGGGATTGGCACAAGACATCCACACAATCGGCCAATGAGTGGTCGAGTGTCGGGCAAGCATTCAGGGTGTTTGTCCGAGAAAGCAAGGATCGGCTTGATTCAAGTGGGAACGGTGATCGAAAGTACTAGTGGCTGGCACGGGCGTTGCTCGGCAGCATGCGGACAAGCGTGGGCAGTAATCGGCATGTGGCCGATAACTTGGGCAAACGAACGTTCGAGGGAAATCGACCACGACTTGACAAGTGTGGGCAATTTGACACGACCAGTTGGCAAGTCAAGCAAGGCAGCCCGATGAGCGGGCGTGCTAATGACCGTGTGGGCAAAGAACTGGCAAGTAATCGGTAAAGGCAAGCAAACGTGCGGAAAAGACAAGGCAGATGGGCTGCCTAGCAACCGGCCGGGCTGTTTGGGCCGTTTGGCGCGCGCCCGCGGGCCCGATCAAGGTGGGCTTCGAAAATCAGCCTTGTGGGCGGATTTGAGTGAAGTTATGGAGCGGTTGAGGCCTGGAAAGCACGAAAAACTGCTCCTTATTACTTGTATTAGTTGGCCAAGTGTCATGTATAAGTGCTGCCATGTGTCCCTAGGTAGTTTTATGTGAAAACTACCTTTTCCTTGTATTTATTTGGCTATGAGTGCACAAATCCGACCCATCTAGCATAGGAGAGTTCAGATTGCAATTGTTGGGCATTCCGAGTGAGGATTTTGTGTGTGCACCTTAGTCTCTTTTGTATTCTTTGTGAGAATTAATATAAAGGTTGGGCATTGCCCGTAAACGTGCTTGTGTGTTTGTTTTCCGCTGCATACTCTTGTTCTCGTTTACGTTGGCTTAAAAGACTCGGTGTTTATACGTTTTGTACGAAGAGAATCGTGAGGAAGACTGACTGATTTGGTGGGCAAATCAGGCCGCACGGGCGAAAATTTCTTGAGTAAAGAAACCCCTGTGACAGTTGGTATCAGAGCCAGGTTCAAGGGTTCTGAACGTGTTGCTGTTCGGCATGGCTGAAGATTTTGGATCTTCGACAAATCCAAATCCTACTCGTGTGATGATGCTAGATATGGAATCAAGGCTGCAACGTCTTGAAGCCTTGGTTGGGCCGCCCCTAGATCCAACGGATCCACCGATCTTACAAAAGCTCGCTGATGGGAAGCGAGAAATCGATCGTTTGTCAAGATCGTTGGACGATCTGTCCCAATTTGTGGAGGACAGATTCACGTCCGTTGCCGAGGAGATGGGACTCCTCATTGATGCCGTTGAGACGAAGCTTGATGGGATGCTTACTGATTTGACGGTGCTTAAGAGGGCTGTTCGAAATGAGGGATCAAGTTCTGAGGGCAGATCATCGGGATCCAAAGTTCGTGTGCCGGAACCGACTGCGTTTGATGGTGTGCGCAGCGCCAAAGAAGTCAAAAACTTCGTGTGGGATATGGAGAATTACTTCGAGGCAGCCAAGGTTCCGGATCACGAGAAAGTGACCATTACAAGTATGTATCTTGTGGGGGATGCAAAGTTGTGGTGGCGTGCTCGTTTGTCAGACGATGCAAGTGCCAACCGAGTGAAGATCGAGACTTGGGAGGTGCTGAAACGGGAGTTGAAAGAGCAATTCCTACCTTGCAACTTGGGCTGGATTGCAAGGGAATCCCTTAGGCAATTGAAGCACAAGGGAACCGTGTGGGAGTATGTCAAGGACTTCAGTTCTCTGCTCCTTGACATACGTGATATGTCCGATAAAGATAAGTTATTCAACTTCATGGCTGGATTGCAGCCATGGGCCCAAACCGAGTTGCGGAGACAAGGTGTGAATGAACTGCCAAGTGCCATCTCGGCAGCGGATCGACTTGTCGATTACAAGGTGATGGGGGCCGATGATTCCGATAAGGAAGGCTCGAAGAAGGATAAGTCCAAGGAAAAGAAGTTCGGTGGCAAGGGTGGCCGTAATTGGAAGCAAAAAGAGAGCGGTGATGGCGAGGGATCCCCGGCGCATGCCAAGACCGGTGGACAGCCCGTCGTCAACAAACAAAACCGTGGCTGCTTTCTATGTGATAACAACCACCGAATGAGGGACTGTCCGAAGAGGAGCAAGTTGAATGCTTTGATGAGGGAGTCGGATAGTGAGGAAGATTCGGACGAGACGAGGCGTGCGAATCCGATTCAATTGTTGAGTGCTTTGGTCGTGGACAAGGCACCCAACGGCACCAAGGGTTTGATGTATGCCACAGTGCTGATCAATGGCAAAGAAGTGAAGGCGATGGTTGATTCGGGAGCAACACACAACTTCGTTGCCGAGAGAGAAGTCAAGAAGCTGGGCTTGACTCTCTGAAAACATGCAAGTCAAGTGAAGGCTGTAAATTCAGAGGCGGAGCCGGTGAGAGGCAGAACCGATGTCGATCTAGTGATCGGTTCTTGGAAAGGGCAGTGCGGATTGACTGCCGTACCACTGGATGATTTCGATGTGATATTGGGGCAAGAGTTCCTACTTGCTGCGAAGGATGCGGTGATACCGTTTCTCGGTGGGTTGATAATTATGGACGAAGAGTGTCCATGCTTCGTCGAGTGCTCGTACGTGACTAAAGCAAAGGCGGGAAAGAAACCGGTGGGAATGTTGGCTGCGGTGCAATTGGAGGCAAAATCGAACAACGAGGAGTCATCGAGCCTAATTGCAGCCGTTCGAAACAAGACGGTGATTCTCGGGCTGGTTTGCTTGTACGTGCATTGCCGAGAAATGAGACAAGGGCCGAAGGCAAGTTGAGGTATTCATTTGGGCTTATGAATGGGCATTGTGGCCTTACTTTTGTTCTAAGTTGCTGCCGTGTGTGGCATGATTTGCGGGTTTGAAATGTAGTATCTTCTGAATTTATGTGGCATGTTGGGTTTTTGTTGGGCTGGTTTCTGTTGTTGATGAAATGGAAGCTGTGTTTGGGTGGTTTCCATGGGCTGGAGGTTTCCTTTCTTGATTGGAGAGGCAATCGAGATAAAATGCTAGTTGTAGCAAAAACTAGCATTTTCACTTGTGGTTGGGTGCTGCCGTTTGAACGTGATTGGCGTTCGTTTTTCCGAGGGCTGAAAGAATATGTGGGATGTTCGTGGGATTAGACTTGGAATTCGGGATTCGATGTGGTGCTGGTGATCAAGCACAATCGAGAACAGTGGCAAGACAAGTGGAAACAAGGGAAAGCTGAAGCCGATGGTGTCGGTTCGACAAGGGCGTCGAACACCGTTGGTGGGGGAGGTCTGTTACCCCCTTAATCGGTGATATCGGTAATGACTCGAGTGTGGCCGAGTCATGGCCGAGAAATGGTGCCAAGTGGGGATTGGCACAAGACAACCACACAATCGGCCAATGAGTGGTCGAGTGTCGGGCAAGCATTCGGGGTGTTTGTCCGAGAAAGCAAGGATCGGCTTGATTCAAGTGGGAACGAAGATCAAAAGTACTAGTGGCTGGCACGGGCGTTGCTCAGTGCGGACAAGCGTGGGCAGTAATCGGCATGTGGCCGATAACTTGGGCAAACGAACGTTCGAGGGAAATCGACCACGACTTGACAAGTGTGGGCAATTTGACACGACCGGTTAGCAAGTCAAGCAAGGCAGCCCGATGAGCGGGCGTGCTAATGACCGTGTGGGCAAAGAACTGGCAAGTAATCGGTAAAGGCAAGCAAACGTGGGGAAAATGCAAGGCAGATGGGCTGCCTAGTAACCGGCCGGGCTGTTTGGGCCGTTTGGCGCGCGCCCGCGGGCCCGATCAAGGTGGGCTTCGAAAATCAGCCTTGTGGGCGGATTTGAGGGAAGTTACGGAGCGGTTGAGGCCTGGAAAGCACGAAAAACTGCTCCTTATTACTTGTATTAGTTGGCCAAGTGTCATGTATAAGTGCTGCCATGTGTCCCAAGGTAGTTTTATGTGAAAACTACATTTTCCTTGTATTTATTTGGCTATGAGTACACAAATCCGACCCATCTAGCATAGGAGAGTTCAGATTGCAATTGTTGGGCATTCTGAGTGAGGAGTTTGTGTGTGCACCTTAGTCTCCTTTGTATTCTTTGTGGGAATTAATATAAAGGTTGGGCATTGCCCGTAAACGTGCTTGTGTGTTTGTTTTCCGCTGCATACTCTTGTTCTCGTTTACGTTGCTTAAAAGACTCGGTGTTTATACGTTTTGTACGAAGAAAATCGTGAGGAAGGCTGACTGATTTGGTGGGCAAATCAGGCCGCACGGGCGAAAATTTCTTGAGTAAAGAAACCCCTGTGACAGAAGCCATGATAAATACTAATAAATTGTACTAATAAATTGTGATGGTTTTGTTACTTAATAGTTATGACTTATGACTTATGAGAATTAATATATAAAGACCTCATATTATAGAACATATTCCTTTCTTTCAAACATAAGTAATTCATATGTTTAAGATAATCATATTCCAGCCGAAAATAAAAATGGTCAATGAATAATAAGCAAATAAAGTGAAAAATTATGCTCCGGTTAGATTATATGATAAATGCAGGACGTGGTTTAGTAAATGTAGGATATTTTATTTTAGAAAATTAAAAGCTAATATACATTCCATCTTATTTCGTCAAATCCCTTTCTTTCAGGAGTTTTTAACAACATTATTTTGGCAGAATATCATATGAAGAGTTTCAGTAAACGTAGACATTTTATTAAAAAATTCAAACATAATATATCTCATCTTATTCGAACTCTTTTTTATAAATATCCATCAACATAAAAATGGAAAACTATCACACAGGACACAATTAGTCATTATTAACCACCAAGAACATGAATTTATTGATTTTGGAGGATGATACGCCTGAAAGTGAGGTAAAAAAATCATTTCAGCGCGAAAAAAGTTTCCTGTTTTCTGTGCCAAACTTCCATTTTTTTTGTTTTCTATGTCAGATTTTATAACATATATTAATTTTATTAATAATTTGGATCAGGATCATCTCGATACATTTAAAGAAGTCGATTATATTGAATATTTTCCATCAAACAAAATATTTTGTAGTATACACGAATTTAATGTGTTTGAGATTGAAAACTGTAGAAAATAAATGTAGTTCTATCGATAGTTAATGATAAATATTGGATGAGAATTAATTTTATATTAAAATGTCTACAGCTACTAAAATACGTTCTAAAATATGGATACAAATTAAAATTAAAAAAAGTCCTACATTTACTAAAAACTGTTCTGTATTCATCATTTCCCATTAAATAATATTCCCTTTTTAACCTTTTTTTAAGTAATTTCACCCTAAATTTATATACAGCAGCACAACATTATATGGTAAATAAAAAATAGCACCATACACTACGTTAAGTTTTTAAACCAAAAAAGAAGAAAATAATATACTAAAAGAAATATCTGTGGGCCAAAATGTAACTAACTGTATTCCTCACCCACATGACCCTAGTAACCTTAACAATATTACGTTTTTCTTTATTATTTACAAAAACAACCTCTTTCTTTCTAGACACAACCGACTAATAAGGAAAAAATCATGTCATTTTTTTTTTTTTTTTTTTTTTAATTTTTGCGCTATACCTCGTAATCTAATTCGATATCATGTTGATCAATCCAAATTAAAATTCTTTGGTTTGTTCTATACTTCGTAATCTAATTCGCCATCATAACAAAGCAAAGTTCGTTAATACCCAAAAATGTTACTCCCTCCTTCCCCAATTAATTGCCGTTTTAGCTAATATTCTTTTCCCCATTTTCTTGACGTTTTAAATTTTCAAAGCAAAACAATTTTTTTCTTTTCATTCTTGCCATTATTATTAATTTTTTTATGTTATAGTTTGTTTAATAAATTAATGAAAAAATATTCAGATAGAGAAGGACATCACTATCAAATTAATGTTTAATTAATGAATATTTTAATTTATGTGAGAAAGCCTTAAATGTCAATTAATTAGGGAAGGAGGGAGTACATTTTTAGCGTTGCATACAATAAATACATGGCCAATAATTGAATAAAAAAATAAAATAAAAAAGGGTAAATTAGTTTGAGATAGATCATGTGCAACTTAATTAGTTTGTCTGTAATAGAAACTTAATCAGTATTGGTTATTTATTTAGATTGATCAATACCATTCTGTTGCCTTTTTCTTTTTGTTACATTTTACATGATTCATCCATTGTTCAATTGAGCCGGTTTGTTGGATGTGTTAAATTGAGTTCATACTGACAAATATGGTGCCTGACAGTGGCATTATTTTTTAGCTGAAATTTTTGCACTGGATAAGAAGTGCTATAAACAACTATAGTCATGACAATAGAACTTGTAGTATACTATAGTTCTTTATAGTCGATTTCAATATAGTAAATTTATTAGTAAATTTATTAAAAAAAAAAACCAAAAAAAAATCATTGTTTTTTTTGCCTTGTGAAGTTGGATTCATGCGACAGTAATCTAGACTTTATGTCACTATATATAACGATAATCACATGTATGCTGTGTGTTTTTTAATGTACAATAATGTTTGTTCATGTTTGAAAATATATGCCTATGTGATTGTGAATTTTGTTGTTGGTGTAGATGAATTTTGGGGTAAAAGACAGTACATGACTACATATAGAATTTGTATTATAGTATAGTCATGTATAGTATACTTTCAGTACATTAAATTTATCAAATTTGAAATATATATATAATAATAATAACAACAACAACAATAATAATGATGATGATGATGATGATGATGATGATGATGATGATGATGATGATGATGATGATGATGACGACGATGATGATGATGATGATAATAATAATAAATAAAATAAAGTAAAAAATAGTAAAATATATATATGAAAAATAACAAAAAATAATTTTATTAAAATTAAAAATCATGATAAGTGCAGTATAGAAAATATTAAATACTATGCAGAAAATACTAAATGCAGTTGGTTGAAATGTTGAATGCAATTAGAGCAAACATTGCATATGAGGTTAGCATAGTCTTTTTGCCTCCTCAAAAATATTATAAAGGAAGATTTTATAATTGGACTAGCCCTATATAATATCCATATTAGGATGTATATCAAATGGCCCCAATAAAAAAAAGTGGTCTAACCTACATCAATAAAGTGTCTCCAGTGAGAACCACAAAAACAAGCAGAAGAATATAAACCGTGAGATAAATCACGTGGATAAAAAGATTGGAAAGTCCAATCATTTAAAATTGGAAACCAACTTTCCCTTTTCTAGTCTAGAAATAAAAAGGTGAAATCTTAGAGAGAAATTCGGAATAATTTGTGATAGTATATGATCCGGACAAATTTGTCCTAGGCCCAAAATCAAAGCCCAAACTTCCAAAATAACCGCCCCGGCTCAATTATAATATGAGAGCTCATTCTCCATCAAGATTTTTGGGCACGCTACCCAAGACAAGGCAGGGGATAAGAGAAGGAAAGGGAGGAGAGAAGGGGTCTTCTTCTGGCTCAAGAAAAAACACACAAAGAGAGAAAAACATACACACACCAAGAAATAGAAACACAAATACACCAAAATACACGGAATATCTTGAGGAGGTCCAAATGGATCTCATCAAATGGCGCTGTCTGTGGGAACGTTTGAGTTATAGACGTGTGTTGGTTTGATTTTGGGGTTTTCTCCAATAAGTAGAAGAGCGAGAAGCACGGTACTCCTTCTCGGGCATCGGCGTTAGGCAGCTCAGCAGCCCCACCAACGCGAGTTGTGCAGATAAAAATCGTATATATCATATCTCTAACTCTCTTTTTCTCTATTGATGATTATGTGTATTCTAGTGTGTGGGTAAAGTACAGATCAACAACTTTTCTATATAAGTAAATATATGTATATTTATTTGTTTATTAATGGTTGTTGACCTTTTTGTGGAAAGAGAAATTCCATAGGCTACCGAAAAGACGGGGTCGGAATCGACCCCGCACGAAAGAGGAGTAAGACGAGGTATCTCGCATCCAAAAGAAAAGTAAGACGAGGTATCTCGCATTCAAAAGAGAAGTAAGACGAGGTATCTCGTATTCAAAAGAGGAGTAAGACGAGGTATCTCGCATCCAAAAGAGATGAAAAGACGAGGTATCTCGCATCCAAAAGAGATGTAAGGACGAGGTATCTCGCATTCAAAAGAGGAGTAAGACGAGGTATCTCGCATCCAATAGAGAAGTAAGACGAGGTATCTCGCAAAAGAGAAGTAAGACGAGGTATCTCGCATCCAAAAGAGAAGTAAGACGAGGTATCTCGCATTCAAAAGAGAAGTAGGACGAGGTATCTCGCATTCAAAAGAGAAGTAGGACGAGGTATCTCGCATTCAAAAGAGGAGTAAGACGAGGTATCTCGCATCCAAAAGAGAAATAAGACGAGGTATCTCGAGACGAGGTATCTCGCATCCTGAGTGCGACGAGGTATCTCGCATCCAAAGTAAGGACGAGGTATCTTGCATCCTGAGTAAGACGAGGTATCTCGCATCCTGAGTGTGACGAGGTATCTCGCATCCAAAAGAGAAATAAGACGAGGTATCTCGCATTCAAAAGAGAAGTAAGACGAGGTATCTCGCATTCAAAAGAGGAGTAAGACGAGTTATCTCGCATCCTGAGTGCGACGAGGTATCTCGCATCCAAAGTAAGGACGAGGTATCTCGCATCCTGAGTAAGACGAGGTATCTCGCATCCTGAGTGTGACGAGGTATCTCGCATCCAAAAGAGAAGTAAGACGAGGTATCTCGCATTCAAAAGAGGAGTAAGACGAGGTATCTCGCATCCAAAAGAGAAATAAGACGAGGTATCTCGCATTCAAAAGAGAAGTAAGACGAGGTATCTCGCATTCAAAAGAGGAGTAAGACGAGTTATCTCGCATCCTGAGTGCGACGAGGTATCTCGCATCCAAAGTAAGGACGAGGTATCTCGCATCCTGAGTAAGACGAGGTATCTCGCATCCTGAGTGTGACGAGGTATCTCGCATCCGAAGTAAAGACGAGGTATCTCGCATCCTGAGTGTGACGAGGTATCTCGCATCCAAAGTAAAGACGAGGTATCTCGCATCCTGAGTGTGACGAGGTATCTCGCATCCGAAGTAAGACGAGGTATCTCGCATCCTGAGTAAGTCTAGGTATCTCGCATCCTGAGTAACACGAGGTATCTCGCTTCCTGAGTGCGACGAGGTATCTCGCATCCAAAGTAAAGACGTACGAGGTATCTCCCATCCGAAGTTAAGACGAGGTATCTCGGATCCTGAGTGTGACGAGGTATCTCGCATCCATAGTAAGATGAGGTATCTCGCATCCGAAAAAGAAGGGTACGTCGTAAAATACATAGGGAAATGAACAAAAAAAAAAGAGAAAACCCAAACTCGAGGTGACTAGTTACTTCGCGTCTCTTCCGACGAATTGGGGGGAGTAGATTGGTTCGATTTCTTCACCTCGTTAAAGCATCTCGAGAGAGTAGTTCGCCACAACTAGTTACTCCGCACTCCTCATGACGAACTGGGGGGAGTAGATGATCTGGACAAATTTGTCCTAGGCCCAAAATCAAAGCTTAAACTTCCAACATAACAGCCCCGGCCCAATTATAATATGAGAGCCCATTCTCTATCAAGATTTTTGGGCACGCCACTCAAGACAAGGCTGGGGATAAGGGAAGGAAATGGAGGAGAGAAGGGGTCTTCTTCTGGTTCAAGAAAAAACACACAGAGAGAGAAAAACATACACACACCAAGAAATAGAAACACAAATACACCAAAATACACGGAATATCTTGAGGAGGTCCAAACGGATCTCATCAAATGGCGCCGTCTGTGGGAACGTTTGAGTTATAGACGTGTGTTGGTTTGATTTTGGGGTTTCCTCCAATAAGTAGAAGAGCGAGAAGCACGGTACTCCTTCTCGGGCATCGGCGTTAGGCAGCTCAGCAGCCCCACCAACGCGAGTTGTGCAGATAAAAATCGTATATATCATATCTCTAACTCTCTTTTTCTCTATTGATGATTATGTGTGT